TTCTCAATCAGCCTTAAGAAGGAAAATAAGAACCTAATCCAGGTCAGCAAGAAGCCATCAGCTGAGCAATCCAATCCATACAAAGCAAACGTTCTCAGTCCACCAAGAAGGGGTTCAGTTGCTTAAAAAATCTACACACGTAAAAGCGGTATTTCATACCAGCAAAAAAACAACAAAGCATTGGAGTTCAGACTCTGAAAGGCTGTAAAGCATTCATTCAGGCGGTCAGGTCAGTCRGGTAAGCCATTCATTTGTTCATTCATGCAATAATGGTATCCATTTGTAGCTGCGCTGCGTCACTTGACTCTCTTGCCRGCGAGTTTGCATTCATGTATACCATTTTCTCAGCTTGTTTCAYCTGCAATGCAGCCGGGGAATGGGGTTTGCATTTGCAAACATTGCAAGTGTGCTGATGCATAGCCAAAATATCGGGCAACTGCAAAGTAAGCATGCAATACCAGCACACAAAGGAGCTCCAATGTATAAGTGGGCAAAGCCAAGCAAGGCACAAAAGTGTTGCTGAGTGCGCAGAGCGTTGCGATATAGCTTGCTCCGTGCGCTCCAGTAATAATAATTAATAGTAATTAATTATAAATATAAATATTGATATTAATATTATGATTAATTATTATTTGTTGTTAATAATTAATATTATTTACAATAATTAATATAAGTTGGCATCAAGCAAGCATCTCATAGACTTGGCTGCATTCAAGGATATAAAGGGCTGCATGAGCAAGCAGCAATCATCATGCTCCTCAGAAAATGTAGCAACACGCCTTACACCCCTCACATTCACCCCCAGATTCATGCTGTGAACTTGGCAGCTGTAAGCCAGCTTGTTGGGGAACCACTCCTCCAGCACCTTGCAAGCTGCCCGATTGGCGCGGCAGTTGTCCATTATGAAGGCATCCAGCTTGTCACCCCCTGCTGTGTCAGCAAGCTCGCGTGCCAGGTCCCTGTGCATCTGCAAGCAAGCATACAGTAGGCGAACACTGCTCAACTCTTGAAACTTGCTGCAACGATAGATAGCTGTCAATGGCAAGGCTCCCCTTGAGGTTCATGCCCTTCATGAACCGGAAGGACTCTTGGCCAGTGATGATGGCACGCTGGAGGTCCATGCGCACATCCTCCAGCACCCTCGCACTGGGCATGTATCATGTCACAGAGCTCTGCTGCTGCGTGCGCTTGCGCTTAACCGCGGGCTCATCCTCCTCATTATCAACACCATCAAGCTCCTCAATGACCTCAGGATTTTCCTCAGGAGGGGCGCTGCAGTAGCTGTTTTGCTGTTTGTGTGTCTGCGGGGGATTCACAGCGCTGATAAGTGTCCTGCAGCCCTTGTACCCCAGCACACATGGCTGCAGCTCCTCCTCCTTGGCTATGATGATGTCATCATACCACCGCTTCTTCACCTCCCTCAACTGGCCAGGCCTGTCCAACAGCTGCTCGAGTCTCGAGGGCGCGTACTTCCCATCCCGATGTTTTTGACGCACCACCCCATCGCTTCCTTTCTCTAATCCAAAGTTCTTCTTCGGCATGATTAATTTCTGTGCCCCGGGAAAGCCGCGAGCCAAAATTTTGCGTGCCCGAAATGTAATATTACACCAAGACGTTGTGTAATATTACTGTAATATCACTGTAG